TGTCCCAGACCTGCTCCAGATATCTGTATCAAGCTATGTAAAAATATTATCTATGGATTATAATATTGTCTATGGTTAATAAATTATTCGTAAAGCTGTAAGGATTTTATACTATCTAGCTGAGTAGTTATATAAAATATAACCTAGGGCAAAAACCCGACGGTGGAAACCTACAAGATACAGCTTAGTCAATTGCGAATTGATTTTTTGAGAGGTCCATTGCATAATTGAATCACTAATCACATCACAATATATGCATAATAAAAGGTGGCAAGAAGAAACAATCCCTGCCTACTGGCATAGAAGTATTGTTTGTTCGGTGTACAAAAAAGGAGACAAACCTAAGTGCACAAGTTATCGTCTACAAAATATTAACATATATTATCAACAAGCACATTAATCCCCTATCTGAAGGCATTCGTGGTGAATATCAGACAGGGTTTAGACGTGGTACGTTCACTATAGATCACATATTCGCAATCAAACAAATTCTTGTTAAAAATTGGACGAATTAACGGTGCCACGGAAAGTGGCACGATTGATAAAGTGTCTAATGATGCACGCGAGCTGCTGAGGGGGACAATGTGGCGAAGAGCAGCAGCAGAGAGATGGGAATATTTTGGGTATCAAATTCGATAGACTAATAGATGTGACAAGTCCGTAGTGGATATACCAGAGTTAGCAAACGCAGAGTACTACACCGCATTGTTAAAAATTATTATCAAAATGACGAAAATTAACTAAAGAATTAGTACGTCATTTTAATGATGTGAAACACACGACACAAATCCGCTGTGGTTCTGAAAAAAAATACAGCAGTCGGTGAGAGTGTGACCGACAGTCCAAGACTTGGATAATCACAATTAACGCATTTTGGTGTCAGAATTCCACGTATGATTCATAAGAAATAAATGTATTCCTAACGAATCATTGTTTGGTATGCATAGTGTGGAAAGAATGTTGGATCATTCGTTGAGCATATAATGCGTTAATGGTAATTGTGGAATATTATTGTAGTATGATACCTCAGTTTTTTTGCTACGAAAAATATGTGGTTTTCGCAGGACCTTGTTACACCGCCCGTGAAACATTTACAGTTTTGCACCAGTATTTCTTAGTAGTTTTATCTCTCATTTTAGTAACCACAAACAGCTGTCATGATCTTGCCACTTAATATATGTATATGAACCGCTTTTGTGGAGTTAATGATAAATATAGATAATGCCCAAGTGATGATTTAATAAATACTCCTTATATTAATAAATAGCAGCTTTGTATCATCTTATTATCAACGTCATTGTAACCAACCATAAGGTACCATCAATATTCTATTCCGTTATACAGAGACTCTAAAATTAATGTACGATTGTATGCACATATCAAGATCTGATGTTTTGTATGATGATTCATTCTAGAAAACGAAAACAAAAACTACATTTGACAAATGTGCCTGCAGTAACGATTTTGTGTTTTGAAAGTGAAATAACCGGATTGATTATGAATGATTACTGAGAATTTTTAACGATCATAAAGGATTGTTATCTATTTATACTGATTTCGGCTGCTACCATATTGGTTTAGACAATTTTCGTGATTTTCCTAAATGATTTTTAATAATTATAAAGTACTCAACACGTTTCTAGACGGTCTACTCTAAAGAATAAAACTGATAAATGATTTAGATAGACAATGAAAGTAGACGGCATTTGTAAAACGACCATTTGTGTTTCAGAGACTATAATTAGTATAATTGTTGCAAGGAGAATGAGAATTATTTTATGACTTTGCAAAGCAATTTCAAATACGGAGGTGTAATTTTGTGATGCAGATCATGTATTTGAAATAACTTTAAGCACCATATAGCTAGATAGATAGAAGGAAAATTTACAAACGTTCGCTGGAATATAAGAAGAATAATAACCAGAGAGCTTTCTACACTAAGTTAATGGTTAGCTGATTGGCACAACTTATCTCAACCATTCAAAGATAAAGCTGCAGAAGTAGATTGTGTGCGTGTATTTCCTAGTTACAATTCAGATTTAAACCTAAGGAAACTTAGTACAATCTTCGTCAAGTTAGATTTGCTATAATTAACTTCCAAGTTTTATGGCATCTTGAATAACATAATAAATACTCATTACCCAGCTGAGGACAGAATTTACAGTTATGAATTATTACGGTTCAGAAGTACCAATGAAATGAAAACGCATACTGGGAGAAGAGTTAGAACAAACTGTAACTGGAAATACATATAAATATCAATCCGCCACGGAAAGTGTATGAAAAAGGAATTTGCTACATAGTTCATATTCAGTAGTATCTAAAATAGATTAGAAGATCAAGGAGAAAAGACAAGTCTGTTTATTTGTTTTATTCTACAGTGATACAATAAAGTCTCCATACACCCCAGAAAATGATAATATCCCAGCTTCCGAAATGTAATTCAATGAAATTTTTTAACAAAAGATGTAAGAAGTCTATATTATTTCCATATTTTACAACTATATGCATAAGTTATTATTAATCATGGAGAACACAAAACATAACCATATCTAACTTAAAAAAGTCTACAGACAGTAGGTTACTCTATACATACTATATCATTAACAATCAAAACATGTCGAAATTTACATACTAAAATTACGTCAGTTATAGCAGTACGTAGATTTTTTGATTATGTTTTGTGTTTTTCTTTATAAATAATAAGTTATACATTTTTATGTAAAATATTAAATATTAATATAGATTTCTAATATCCTTCGTTTAAAAATTTCCTTAAATTACATTTCAGGAGCTGAGATTTTATCATTTTATGGGGTGTATGTAGACTTTATTGTATCACAGTATATAAGGAATTTAGATTTGACAGACATCGATCGTAGTAATGTCGTTGTTTTATACTGCTTTCCACTTCATTGTTCACATACTTTTATGAAACCTCTAAGTAAATATTACGATGATATCCTTGAGAAACTGATACACAATTTCTGAAAAATTGATTTACTGGTTTTAATGGATTTTGGAAAACAATAATATGGCTTTTTCATATTTCGATCGTTACCAACCTGGATTTTAAAATTACAAGATTACATATTTAACATTAAAGTACACAGAGATTTTAAAATTAATTCGTGATTCTTTACACACACAAAAATCTGGTGTTTTGTATAAACTGTGGGAGATTTTTATAAATAAAGAAAAATATAATCATCATAAAGGCTACTGATAAATAACATTAGGACAATTCCATTCCATCCCAACCTTTTGATCTTTAAAAAAGGCTTCAAAATTTTAAAGCAATCATTCTATTTGGTATCAAGGCATAACATAGCGTGCAAAATATTGCAAAATAAGAAATGGAGTACTCATAATAGAATACTCATATGAGTACTGCAGTTTGTGTAGGAATGAAGCAAAATAACCAATAAACTTTGACTTTTAATGGTTTTAAAGTACTTAATACGTTTCTGGATGCTTTTAAATAGTTTTAGACAATTTTTGAAATATTTTTACAAGCAAAACAACAAAATATTTTGAAAAAATCTGATCGAGAAACATATTAAATACGGAAAATATTTATATTACATAATATACATTCCACGTGTTGGCATAAAGCTGTATTTACTGCACATTATACATTAAAATGTAGAGAATACCATTAAACCTAGATAAACTAGCCAACCATAATAAAGGTTACTTTGTCATGAGTGCCAAGTCACAGAGGCATAACTAACAATGATTTAACAAATTGACGGCCAATAAGAGTTCTAAAGTACCATGCATTAAATCAGATTCCCCAGTGGGATTTTTCATTACCCTAGCTGATCTAATAAAACTCTACAACAAAGAACCCACTTGTAAACTTAGTTATGAATAGGATGAAAACACCTTGCACGTTTTGAGTGCTTTACAATTGAATCCTGAACGAAATTACACCTAGGCCAGGTATGTCCAGAGAGTGGATTTTCTAACAGAAACCTAATTGGAATATTTCGAGATATTAATAAGGCTACAATGTACACTATTTGCTACTGTAATCGCTAAAGTTTTTTAAATGATAACATTTATTGTTACATTTACTAAATAAAGGTTTAAAATCATTCGAAATAAAAGAATATTTTAAGACAATGAAAACAAGCAAAATATGCTAAAAATCATTCTAAACTTCGCCAATCGTTTTAAATCGACTGAAATTGTCTTGAAGATATTATGAATTTCCCAAAATTATTTTGTGATAGAAGAATGATTGACAGTACTTTTAAAAGCTGTATTATGTTTCAAAATTTGTTAAAAATAGTTTTAAGGTTTTGTTCTAAAGCATTTTCTTGTATTTTTTTTATTACTTTAGTGCGAGTAATAAAGTAGTAGCAGTAAAGACATCAAAGTTTATGAAGAAAAATACAGTTTTATTTGTTTAGGCAGTAACTTTTTTTAATTATCTCATAACGGAAAAGTAACTACAATTATTTATTTAATTTTTAAAGAGTTAAACGTTCCTTTAGAATTTTTGTTTCATTCTGATAAAAAATGTTTTTGAATTTGCAAAACTTTTTATGTCGTCGAAAATCGTTAACTGAACAACAATAGGCAATTTTGTAATAATTTAGTGTTATAAAATGTGTTTGAAAAAACTTTTTTTTGCTAGTTTACAATAAATAACGAAGATAACGAACATGTTGATTTTTTATTTTGGTCTCCTTGAAAACGCTTTTGTTGATTTTTGTAATTTATTTTCGAAATAAATCAGCGATGGTTTACAAGTTTTCTTTTTGTAACAGACACAGTCAAAATAGTAGTAAAACTCCGAAATTTTAAACACGAACCAAAATCTTGTCCAAATATATTCCTGGAGATAAAGTAAACCACTTCAAAAGTGTATTTAATAAATAAACCGTTATTTTGATTGATTTTATAAACTAAGCTTTACTCAAATTTCTTTACTTTCATTTTTTATTACATTCTTTTCATTCCTAAACTATCTCCCCAAAAATTTTTCTTACCTCAAAAGTAATCACAAATCTTAACAACAATTTTATACACTGATTTGCTTTTTATTTCACCTTATTCTTCACCAACAAAAAAAATCTTTAGTTACTCATTTGCTGTTATATCTATTTTACACCTAGTAGCTATTTATAAAATGAAACCGAACGAACCGTTCGTTAGGATAACGTTCGTGAGAATGAACCCGAGGGGTTTAGAAACGGTCCTGAAAATTTAACACACGCGAACGAACGCGCACACTGAAACAATTTTTCCTCCTGAAATCGTCTTCTTCACCACTGTCGACTTGTTAAATGCGTCGTTTCATTACGACTACGCAACGAGATCACCGCAGTTTGAATGGCCGCGACGGATTTTAAAATTAGACCGGTGTACTTTCAGCAAGACGAAAAAATGGTAATTTACTTATTTACTTAGTAAAAAAAATTCTCTCTTTGTAGTTTTAATTGTTTTTTAATTTATTATTTTAACGTTTTTTAACGATCTTTTCTTTATAGTCGTTGAAAGTGGCATTTTTTCTAAATTATAATCTTGTAAATAAAATGTTACATTTTCGACCTTATTAATTAAACCAATTAAAACTAATAGTACACAAGTCTAATGATCATTTTTGTTTAAGTCATTCTTTTAATTACAAAACTTTTAAAAATACATTAAAAATAATAACCAAGGTATTTTGATTAAAGGGAAATTCCTTGCGTTTACGAAATCAACGTCGTTTTAATTATTGCACACTCATTATGTATGCAACTAAAGTTCTCAATTATATTTTATATATTTAGGATTATATTTAAAAAGAACTTGAGGGATTTTCAAACAAAAAAACCTTTGTGTAAACCTTTGTTTAGGAAATTACACCCGAGAATATCAAAGACAAGGGAGAACTACCTTTAGGAAGCTGAATACCCCCTTAGGAATTTGAGCTTATTCACTATTTGATTAGATGACAAGATTGTTGATAATCTTGATAAGTTTCATATCTTTCAAATACGTTACAATCGGTTTCTTTTCCACAAAAGACAACATCAATTAAAATAAATTTAAAACGCGCACTAACTACTACCAACAAAAGCAAGGGAAAAAATATGAGTTGTAATTAAAATATAAACTTTCCGAATAAATGGGACTTTTTATTCGAATATGTTTCCCGTCTAGAGCTCCATAACAATTTGGAAAATTCCATATCTCTTTAAATTCTGCAACATACTGGTTCTAAACTTCTTAGTTAGTGTAAGTAAACAAATCGATTTAAGATAAACTCTACGTCAGGCGCGGAGTTCGGATGCAATTCGCTCGAGAGGCACACGTAAAACAATTGCAACACAATTCCATAACTAGTATTTTAAATTACCCAGTAACATTCACTGGAACGTTTTAAGCAAGGAAAAGGAAATATATAGCAGAAGTACGTATATGTTTTTCATCATTGTTTAAAAAGACAGGATTGAAAGATTAGTCAAAACCAAGCTGAAACACAAACGTAGTTTGTTAGTGGAATATTAGCAGAAGATGGGCATTTACACAGCATGTTCCACAGACGATATTTGCGGAAGTGAGGCAGATTATAGAAAGACATCTTTTACTTCCATAGTGTATCATTTTTCAGAATTATCCTCCACCTATCTAGAAGAGGTAAGTTGAATTTTCTAAGTTTTTCTAGGCACCATTTGAAAGTTGGTGGTTATTCCAATTATTGTCACACTTCCTCGATTGAACTTTCAAAGCAGTAGATGGGATAATTAACATTTAACAAGTCAGCTCACGCTGTAGTTAGTGACACATGTGGTCTGAAGTATCGATACCTCCCTTTGTGGAATTGTAAAAAATGATGATGCCTCTGGTTTCTTTCTCTCTCCAGATTCAGGATGGATAGTCTCGACGTCATGGAGCTACGATATGAGATCACGCTGTTTTTTAGTTGTAATATGTAATATAAATATTTCCCATTACTTAATCCAAGCATAAAAATGTATTGTTTCTTTCTTTTGGAGGCTTTTTGCTTTATCAATTCCAACAAACGACAATTTTTTTCAAATTAATCCAAATAAGAGCTTAACCATTCTTTTCTTTGCTAAGACAGAAAGCTCCTTCAGGTTGTTTCCCAGCATAAATTTCTATTTCATGTATACACTAAGACAATTCGAAGTTTGGTGGCGAAATTCAATGCCAGTGGTTCTTTGGCAACATCGAAGCCCCAAGTTAAAAGCCGTACAACAGTTTGAACAGTTTAAAATTAGATTTACACGTGTTCCCTTTCAAAATGTAAATGACTCAATATTTATCGCCAGTGGATAAGCCGCGATGCGTTCAATATGACAGCAACATGCAAGACATCCTTGCCGGTCATCCTGATTTTTGCAACCATGTGATCAGGACTGACAAAGCACATTTCACGCATTGTGGAAGCGTTAACTCGCAAAATGTTCGTTATTGGGGCACCAAAAATCCTCAATTACCTTTGAAATGCTTTTACATTCACCAAAAGTTACTATTTGGTGCTACGTATGCTCGGAAAGTGATCGATATCGGACCTGTTACGATATTTTTTGGTAACTGAATTCGAGGAAAATGACATGGAGGACTATTGGTTCCAACAAGATGGTGCAACATGCCATACTGCTCGATTAACAATAGATGTGCTGAGTACCATGTTTCCAAAACGATTGATACCAAAAATTGGTTCATTAATAAATTGGATTTAAGAGCAAGGTTCATGTCAGCAAATCACTCTCGAGCAACTTAAGGCCAACATACGCCATGAAATCGCTGATCTAAACACTCGCAAAAGTGTTGAAAAACGTCGAAAAACGGGACGATTTTGTGGTGACAGCTGGGGAAGCCACTTACTACACATCATTTTCAGAAAGTAACTAAACAAGTTGTATAAGTCCAAATTGCAATAAAATGATCGAATTCAAACAAAATATTGAGTTGTTTTCAAGTTATTCAAAAAAAAAACATCGCTTACAACAAAATGGTGCACCTTGTATTTATATTCTGATTGTGTAACAATAACCAAACACTTACAAAGCATTTGTTGAAGGTGAATTTATAAAAGAGTGCCTTGTAAAGGCCGCAGAAATTGTAAGTCCCGGAAAAATATATTGTAGTCCCGGAATACTGAAAGAGTTACTAATTGGCGGTAATTGGAGTTACTAAGCCGATCAGATAAAAACAAAATCAGACTGTTTCATTGTATTTTTTACTGCCTGTGACGAAAGTACTGATGTGACACAACTCACTGTTTTTCCTCGTGCTGTTGATAAAGATATCAACGTTTATGAAGAATTACTGGAATTTGTACCATTGCATGATACAACAACTGGAAAGGATATTTTCAATGATGTTGATGGACTTCTGCAAAGAAAGTGAGAGTACTAATGCTTCATTAAAATGTTACAAAGATCAGAGAAACAGGCAGTGACAAACCAGATTTTCATCATGTCTTGGTATAAACCACCAAGAAGTTTTATGCTCAAAAGTAATCAAGTTGGAAAGCGTTTCAAAATTTGTGAAAAATTATTAAACTTCATAAAGTTATGTGGCTTGAATCAGCGACAGTTTTCTGTTTTTACGTGATTTAGAAAGTGAGTACACTGATTTATCTTATTACGCAGAAGCGCGATGGCTTTCGTGTTCTATGGTTCTCGATTGATTTTGGAAACTTAAAGAAGAAATATGCTCTTTTATGAAAGTGAAAGGACAAGATGCCAGCTTATTATCCGACGTACTTTTTTACAAGAACTTTCATTTATGGCAGATATTACAAAACATAACAGATATGCATGATCGTGTGAAAGCTTTCAAGTGTAAGATGATGCTGTGGGAAAACCAGTTAGTAGTGGATAATCTGTCACATGGGCTTGGCAAAAGTGCCGTTCGAACCGTCATTGGTCTCCTCACGATACACTGTAAGGTAAATAAGCACCTTCAAAACATGAAGCTTGCTGGCTCCCTTTTCTGTCGAGCCTGTGAACAGGATGATGAGACGGTTAAACACATCTTGTGTGATGATCTCTCTGACTGACCTCAGAATGAGGACCTTCGGGGAGGAATGGCCAAAAACAGATGATATCACTAATGCACCTCTAGGAGCTGTCCTAGCCTTTGGCAATACCTTAGGGTGCGTTTACGTTGGAGCTGCGATAAACGATACTAACAAAACAATGAAATTGTTGTCATAGTTTTATATGTAGGTGTTTATATTGGAACGAGAGCTGCGATAAACGATAAGAGCTGGAATGAGAGCAGCGATAAGAGCTGCGCAAAATGAACTGAAAATGATTTGTCAGAAAAAATCTGTTATGGTGATTTTTATCTTTTTGGTACCACAAGGGGGATCTAACAAAAATTTCACTAATTAAACAGTCGATATCCATGCCGACCACACCTGATAATAGCAAAGAGAACAGGGAATACAATTAGCGTTGCTCTTATCGTTAGTCGGCTGTCAAACGTGTAACAACGCGTCGCTCCAATATAAGCACTTGCATATAAAACTATGACAACAATGTCGTTGTTTTGCTAGTATCGTTTATCACAGCTCCAACGTAAACGCACCCTTAGGCTGGTTGATGTGACCGGAGTCTGTACTGGGACTCTGGTCTGTGCAGTTTCGCACGCACTCCAGAATCCATACATACAATCTGTCATATTTTCCGACTTATAAGGCGTATCAGGAAAGTACAAGTGTCCCAGTATCATACAAAATGAAAAAAAAATGGGAAGCCTTCTGGCAGAATTTGAAAAGCGTTTTCAGGATTTTAAGTCCCAAGAACACATTTTTTTTTCTTTTTTGGTCTTTTCACTATCGATATTGATAAAGCTCCCCCACACTAGCCGATGGAAGACCCATTTAAAACAAAATTTAATATTATTGGTACATTTCAATTTTATAAGTTGGTACTTGCCTGTTTAATACCAAGAAATGAGAAAATTTGCTTGTGAAATCGTGTCAATGTTTGGAAGTAGCTATAAGTGTGAACAATTATTTTCTTTGATGAAATACATCTCCCCCAAGATTTTTTATAACGTTCTTTTTACTGAAAATTTAATAAATATATTTGTCCTATAATAGTACTTTTTGTTAAGATTTTCAGTAGTTATTCTAAGACATCATCTGCCAATATAGATACATGGAAATTTTTGATGTAATTCGAATATTTATGCATTGAAAAGCAAAATGAAAAGAAAATTCTCGATACTATCAAATCCTGCTTTTCATAGTTACAGTAACTAATTTGCTATGGTTAGTGGTTATTTCTAATCTACAAATAATTCTGAAAAATATACCCAACTAACTTTGAAATTACTTTTTCACTTACAGAATAAGACTTTTTCGAAAATATGATCTTGCATTAACGCTTTACATTGTAATTTGTGCTCGTATAATAAAAGTGCTTTTTAATTAATTAATCATATAATATCCAATTTGCTACAAAAAACGTTTTCATAAATTAGTTGCTTACCTGATTCTAAGAATCACAAATTCATAAAATGTTGTTCTATCACAATAATCGCATTTCTAAATTTGATATCATACTTCGTTTTTATGAAAGTTGTAAACTTGTATCAAATTTTACAAATATATTAAAAAACTTGTTCCCACAACATTCTTTGAAACATGTTCAATTCAAATTGAAACCGTTTCATCCAGTGAATTAAATTCGCAAATGGAAACATCCAATCAATTCACGATTTATAGCCCTCTTTATAACCCATTCAGTTACAGATCAGGTTTCTATTCGTTTCTAAACGATTTAATTAAATCCATGTAAGCATTTGGTTAACAATTGTTATTAACACGTCGATGATTTAATTTATTTAATAAAATCAATTTGGAATTTGCTCAAGTTTACATGATTAGAATGCAATTTACCAAGTTATTTAACTGGAAAATAAGCTATCAACAGAGTTTGGTAGGAAAATCAATGCTAAAATGAATTAAGCCCTTTTTAGTTCTTTTTATTGATTTTTAAAAAAGATTAAAAAAATTAATCGGAAGGAAATCCCCAAACTTTTAAACTTCCTGCATCTCTTTTTCTATCGTAAGTATCTTTATCATCACAAGCATAAGCTAATAAATACTGCGATGGATGCCAAGCTACTGTAAAAGTTGCCGCTTCAACTGTAATATCAGCGATTTTATCGCCTGTTTCAGTGAATCCTATATCAATAATTAAATCTTCTGAAGCAGAGGCTAGAAGTTGACCATCATGGCTAAAAGATATTGTTCGAACTGGCCAATCCATTCTGTAACATTAAAAATTATTTAAGAATTAAATTTACTAAAAATTAAAATTTTACCTAGTAAAAACTTTTTTACAAGCTAACTCATCAACGTCCCAAAGTGTTACCAAAGCATCTGCACTTCCCGTTGCAAAATATTTCCCAGTTGGATCAAATTCAATGCAAATACAAGTCCCTGGGTGAGCATTTAGAATATGCTGAAGTTCCAAATCGGGATAACTAAGTATATGAATACATCCCTGTCCATTTGTTAAAAAGAATAAATCACTAGTATTATTCCAAGAGATTTCATTAACTTCAAAGTTGTATTGTTCTTCAGATTTAATTTTGTGCGTTCTTGCATCAATGAAAGTAACTAAATCTTCCTTATTCCCAACTGCTATTGTATCTCCATTAGGAGCCCAGGTTATATTAATATTTTCTCCCTTTGTGGGTATTGTTGCAATACATTTTTGGATTCTTGAGTCCCATATTCGAACAGATTTGTCACCACTTGCTGTACTTAGAAGATCTGGATGAGATTGGTGCCAACATAATTGGTCTACTGAACCACCGTGACCTTTAAAAGTCGTTTCTTTACTCTTAAAATTAAATAAAAATTAAATTAAATCTTATTAATTATAATTAATGATAATACATACCAAACGGTCTTTATCCAAAGTGTAAATACAAACGGATTTATCAAAAGAACCGGAAGCGAGTCTTTTTCCATCGCAACTCCACCCCACCGAATGTACTTTAGAAGTATGTCCAGAATATTCTTTAGATTTATTATGAGATTGAAAATAATTTCGAAATTCTTCGATTTTATTGTTGTACATTTTCAAAAATTAATCTTAACCTCACTTTTTCACGTTTGTCGCTTTTCAAAACATCAACAAAACTAACCTCACTTTTAATTATTATAAAATTAAATATTTAATTATAAACATTTTTTTTATTAAAAAAACGTTTCTTTTCTTAATTAATATGAATTCTAATAAATTAGAGTCAATTTTAGTTTGTGATAACGATATTGTTGGATTATTTAAGGTTAAGTTGTCATTAATAAGATTTAATAATTAATTTATTTTATTACAATAGATTGCTCTTAAATTGGTAGAAAGTGGAAAATACGTATGGTTCATTTCACCAGAACCAATTACGAGTCTCCCTAAAAACGTAACACCTTCAACTAAAGAAGTATTAAAATTTTTAACTCTTTTGTAGGTTATGTTTAATTTATTTATTTTTTATTAATTTTGTTTAATTTTAGGTACTTTAAAGACACTAGAGAGCTTTTAAAGCATTTTAATAGTATCCAAACTTGGTTTAGGATACCTGAATTAATTATTATAATCGATTTTCATCATTATTTAGATTGTGAAAATAATGATTATAATCCAACAGAAAGTGCTTTTCTTTGTGCTTCATTTCTAGACGCTGGCAATGCATGCATAAAAAAATTAAATAAATCTGTCTATTTAATAGCCTCATTAGACTTAGATAAATGTAAAAATAAAAATGTACAAATTTTATTAGATTTATATTTTAATAAGATATCAAATACTTCGGAGATAAACATATAAATTATTTCTACAAATTTCTTTTTTATTTGCATTCATCATGGCATGGTTCCAAAGTCCTTAAATCCCTCCAAGTTGGTGGTAAGCACCCATACAAATGATTGCCACATTTTTTGCAAGGATGGCTAAATAAGGTTATGTAACTATGAAGCCAATGCTGAAATTTTCATGTAATTAATTTATTAAACCTTTAAAGAATAATTTTTTTTACCATGTATGATTTAATAGCTAACTCCGGCATATTTGGTGCATAAAAATGGCACATAGCGGCGTGACTATTCTCAGTAACTTTCCTAAAAACTATGTATCTAGATTCAGTCCAAATATCGTTTGATTCTGTTTGAGCTTTAACCATAATCCATTCAATCATAAGGCCTTTAAAAGCTATTATTGCTTTTAAAACTCGCCCCAAAGTCACTTGAATCATGGGATTTATCGCAAAAGGCCTTGAAAATGTTATATTCATATCAGTAAATAATCTATCAATAGCTAAAATATGATTTTCGATAACTCTATAAATGAAAACGGATTAATTTTTATGAATTATTTCGTTTAAATTAGATTTACTCAGGTTGGACGTTGTGAGTACTCGTTTGAGGTTTTCTCCTTTTCGTTGTACTAAAAGTCTTGTAAGTTTTTTGTATCGCATACCCCGGTAAAATATTACCAGCAACAGAACTATATTCGCGTATCTTATCAGTCCATTTATAACTATTAACTAATTGTCCATACAAAGCTTGTCGTTCTTGAGTAGTCTCTTGACTTAAATGAGTTGTATTCCCCAAATTAAATGGACCCGGAGGTGGCGTTAAGTTTGAAACTGCATTTTCTACATCTCTAAAATCAATTCATAAGAAACAAATTTAAAAAAAATCAATTTTTAAATATTTTGAAAAACCTAACCTAAGATTATTGTTGACAGTTGTCAATAAAACTTGGAGTTCCGAAATAAATTTAATATCTTTTCCTTCTTCACCATGATCTGCTCTTAAACCATTACTTACTGTTTCAAAAACCGAACCAACGTTTGATCTAAGCACTTTAATTGCATTTAAAGCTGCATATAATTGCTCTAAATCGCGATCCATTGCTTTGCTTGTTTTATTCAAGGCCAAAAAGCTTATTGTACCAGGTTAGTTTATCCTCACAAGTTGCGAAGTAGTTTAAGTTGCAGTGTTTTATTTAGATTGTTTAACACTCAATTGAATTAAAACGTTTTAATCTTTTATGTTCTAAAATACATCGTTACTTTGCGTCACTTTTGGTTGCCAACATGGCAGAGTTTACATTCAAAATTATATACATCCAAGTTATGCAACACAAATTATAAAATCTAATACATTTTAATTTTAATACAATAATGTTGAGCTGGCCTAAGTCAACATTAAACAAGGGTTGTGCTTTTTTGGTGTTTTTCTATTGTGTGGTAGAAAAAACTAGTGGTGCGTACGAGAGTTTCGTTTTCGAGACCAGATCTCGTCTGGAGTCTCGTGCATGAGGTCTTGCGTCTCGTACGAGAGTCTCGCAGGTAAGTATTTCTGCAAATAATATCTCCAACATTTCTCTAAATATTTTCGTATCTACAGGCAGAAATTCCAGTAATGATATATTGAAAGTATCTCTTGAAGGTAAACATGGACTTAGTACATTGTGTCAAAATGTTGTTGATTTAAAACCATATGCTCTTGAGGACAAAGAATGGATACTGCTAGAAGAAGCGCATACAAGGGCGTCGCCAGTCAGTGGGCTAGGGGGGGCAGGACAAAAAAATTGAATAAAAAACACCAAATTGGTCAACCAGATTATTAATAAAGTATCAAAGTTCTCAAAAATATGCTTCCTATACACACTCATCATGGGAAGACCATTGAGACGACATTCTGTCATAGTGCTTCTAAGCCATGTTAAGTTTATGTTATTATTATGTAAGTTTTAAAGCTTTTTTATATTTTCTGCGTAGGATTGCTTGCACACCACCTTCTAAACCGACACATTTGTCCGGATCAAGATCTTCTTCTGCCAAAAACTCATCTATTGCTTTTGCAATACATTTCGCATCCAAAGCATCAAGCTTGACGAATTCGACTAATACTTCTTGAATTTCCTTGGTTTCCTGATCAAAATATGACATCCCAATCGATAGTTGTTCGGTACTCGAGATGTATATTTATTGTGTTTTAATTTTTTTTTCGAATCTGTTCTAGGGGACCAATATACTAATAAGTGATATTGAGAACAAAATATTTGCATGGGACCGAAAGGCAGATCGAAACGCTGTCGAAAAGCAGCTTATTGTTAGTTTTCAGGCTGCGAGAGACAAAATATTAAAGTATTATCGTAAAACTAATTAGATTTATGCTGCAGTTTTAGTTCTCGATCCGCGGCATAAGATAGAAGTTTTTGAAATGACAAGATGGAGCAAAGAATTAAAAGAGACTTCGATTCAGAAATTTGAAGATGTATACAAAGCCTATTTCCATCAATCAGACGGCCAACGTTCGAAAGTAACGGCATTGGAGGAACCAGAAAATTCTAGAGTGAAAAAATGTTTTGTATGCAGTGAATCCTACGCCTTCCGAAAGAGAATGGATACAGGAGCTTCAAAAATATTATTCTATGCCTCGGTGTATTACAATGGTGGAAAATTCATGCTTCTGAATTTTCTATTTTAAGTTTAATGGCACGAGATTTCTTAAGCATACCTTCTACTTCAGTCCCGGCGGAAAGATTATTCTCAGGTGCTGCATTAACTATAAGAAAACATCAAAATCGCCTTAATAATAAATCTGCACGATGTTTGTTATTCCTAAACGATTGGGTGAAAAACAAAATCATTTGCGACCAACACGGCCGAGGGCTGTAATTCTCTCTTCCGACTCTTACATTATAGCAAGTATTTAAGTATTCCTTATTGCACTGAAACAATAAAATCATGTATGACGAGATTTCAATACTTTTATGAGACTCTTGTACAAGAAACAAGACTTTATGAAAATCTCGTCTCGTTGGTCGTTGGTCGTTGCGAACCACTAGAAAAAACATATTTTTGACTTTATAGCTAAGATAACCACATGAAATTAGGTTCGTTTTTCGATAATGCAACAAACGTTGTTTTACAGTCCTGAACTCAAAGCTATTGTCTTCTCTACCTCAGTTTCTATGGATGGTTTTAACGTTAATCCCCTTTAAATTCTATCTAACACTTTTATTGATGTTGTCTTTGAAATAGNGTGTTTTTAATGAGAATTTTCCTATTATAATGGAGGCGTTTGAAACCTCGTCACGGGAAGAAAATAAAAATAAATAATGCGACTAGAAAAAATACTTATCAGCTCCATGCAGCAGCTTCTAGAGTTTCGTTTATTCTCAGCTTTATTTTGATAGCCAAATACTCGGCTATGATGAAACCTGTGGTAAACGTGCTCCAATCCGTAGCTTTGAATGCAGTTAAGGCATCCCAGCACATTAGTCGCCTTTTGGAATTTATAGAAAACCACCGTAACGGTCCAGAAACCGTCACAAATGGAATTATTAGGGACGCTACTATCGTTGCAGAAAAACTTGGACTGGGAGAAGACATGAAGTCCTTGCCCCGTATTGTTGAGAGACAACAACATCAGAACAACCACCCAGCAGCAAGCCCCTCAGAATTCTGGCGGAGGTCTTTAATAATACCATACTTAGACTCCATTATTAATTCTTTTGATGTTCGTTTTTCTGAAGAAAACACCCCGTCATTTTCCTTATCTAAATTACACCCAGCTCAAATGTTAGACATGTTCCTTCAAGACCTCGTAGAAGCTGGTGAAGTTTTTTCCTAATTTTACAATTTATCAAATATCAACAACGAAATCGAACTATGGAAAAAACTATGGCAGGATAAACCTGACTCAAAAGAATTAAGTGTTGTGGATGTCATAAAAAATGCCGACATTTTTTTCCCTGAAACGAGAAAAGCCTTTATAATTTTGGTCACTTTACCCTGCACGACATATACTGTTGAACGATCTTTTAGCAGCTTGAGGACAATAAAACCTGGCTTAGAAGCACTATGGCAGAATGTGTCGTCTCAATGGTTTTCCCATGATGAATGTGTATAGGAAGCATATTTTTAAAAACTTTGAGGGTTTTATTAATAATCTGGTTGACCAATTCGCGAAGAAGCCACGAAAATTATGTTTTAAATAATTTGGTGTTATTTTTAAAATTTTTTTGTCGTGCCCCCCCCCTGGCCCACTGGCTAGCGACGCCCTTGTTTAATACAATAATGTTGAGCTGGCCTAACTCAACATTAAACAAGGGTTGTGCTTTTTTGGTGTTCTTCTGTTGTGTGGTAAAAAAAACTAGTGGTGTGTACGAGAGTTTCGTTTTCGAGACCAGATCTCGTCTGGAGTCTCGTGCATGAGGTCTTGCGTCTCGTACGAGAGTCTCGCGGGTAAGTATTTCTGCAAATAATATCTCCAACATTTCTCTAAATATTTTCGTATCTACACGCTGGAATTCCAATAATGATATGTTGAAAGTACCTCTTGAAGGTAGACATGGACTTGGTACATTGTGTCAAAATGTTGTTGATTTAAAACCATATGCTCTTGAGGACAAAGAATGGATACTGCTAGAAGAAGTGCATAAATTACTAGTCAACTTTCAAATACTTTCCAAGAAACTCGGAGGAGGGAAGTACGTCAAATTACCTATGGTAGTTGTATGTATCAATATACTAATAGATAATATTGAGAGCAAAATATTTGCATGGGACCGAAAGGCAGATCGAAACGCTGTCGAAGAGCAGCTTAATGTTAGTTTTCAGGCTGCGAGACACAAAATATTAAAGCATTATCGTAAAACTAATGCTGCAGTTTTAATTCTCGATCCGCGGCATAAGATAGAAGTTTTTGATATGACAAGATGGAGCCAAGAATTAAAAGACACTTCGATTCAGAAATTTGAAGATGTATACAAGCCTATTTCCATCGATCAGAACGGCAACGTTCGAAAGTTGGAGGAACAAGAAGATTCTAGAGCGGAAAAGTCGGATTTTATAATTGATTAAAGTAAGTAAACCTAAATTTAAATCCTAAATTCATGCTTCTGAATTTCCTATTTTAAGCTTAATGGCACGAGATCTCTTAAGCATGCCGTCTACTTCAGTCCCGGCGGAAAGATTATTCTCACGTGCTGCATTAACTATAAGAAAACATCGAAATCGCCTTAATAATAAATCTGCACGATGTTTGTTATGCCTAAACGATTGGATGAAAAACAAAATCATTTGCGACCAACACGGCTGAGGGCTGTAATTCTCTCTTCCGACTCTTACATTATAGCAAGTATTTAAGTATTCCTTATCGCACTGAAACAATAAAATCATGTATGACGAGATTTCGATACTTTTATGAGACTCTCATACGAGAAACGAGACGAGACGAGAGTGGAGGTTGCGAGACGAGACTTGATACAAGACTTATTAGTTCATCGGCGAGACGAGACAAGACTTTATGAAAATCTCGTCTCGTTGGTCTCATGCGAACCACTAGAAAAAACATATTTTTGACTTTATAGCTAAGATAACCACATGAAATTAGGTTCGTTTTTCGATAATGCAACAAACGTTGTTTTACAGTCCTGAACTCAAAGCTATTGTCTTCTCTACCTCAGTTTCTATGGATGGTTTTAACGTTAATCCCCTTTAAATTCTATCTAACACTTTTATTGATGTTGTCTTTGAAATAGTTCGATATCTAATGTTTGGATTTTGTATTAAAATAGCGACCATAACCAATATTGTGCCTATGCTGTTTCAAATTTTTGTTTCAAAATGTATTCAAAAATTCATCCTTTTGCTCCTACTACACATTCAGAGGTAATAATATGACTTTGTACAGGTTCTACTCTCCCGGTTCTGGTTCTTGAGAATATACAGGATCGACAATCAGTACGAGAATATCAAGAAAGATTTCCACAGCGTGATTTGCCATATTATTCAGAAGAGAAGTTGTCGAGTGGTTAAACCAATATTTTCCGAACAAGTGAATTGGTAATAAGGTCCATTTGCTTGGCTACCTAGATAGACTTAACAAATTATGTATCAAGTGGGAATTAACACATGAGAACAGTTATTAAATAGAATACAAATGACTGCTACTAAAATAAGAAATCAACCAGACATTTTAATTCGGCTGAAGAACTCTTTAATTCGTCGTTGTGAAGCATGTATTTTAGCAGAAGGAGGCTATTTTGAACAATATTTGTAATATTTATATGTTTTAACAAAATGTAGCAGTTAATTATGATATAAAAATTAAAACTTTAAAGTGTTATAATTTCGTAAATAATTGAAATAGGACATATGTTCATTAATATTTTTTTTTGGTAATTGGTTAAATCGCCAATTAATACCAATAAATCACCCTGTATATTCTAAATTTATTGCTAAAAACGATGTATATTAAGAATTCCAAATCGCCCCTGCGGCAAATCTGGAGATGCGAGTAGTCATAGAGTGTCCTAGAGGATCTGCTCGAATTATCTAAGGTAGTTCCAGGATACTGCAGTTTCTACTTCTTGAGAAAATAAAACTTAAGTTTACTCTTAAAAATAGTTATGCTTAATTCTCGATACCAGATTGTACTGCCTGAACGGCAGTCCTGGATCGAAAATGAAAATTCTCTGGTTCAGGCAGATATTTGCATGTTCACAGATAGATGAAAAACGCCGGAAGAGGTTAGGCCAAGAGTATACTGCCCGACACTTGGGATTAAGCAAGCTTACCGCCTATAATACATATAGCCTATAGATATCGGTGCTAAATTCCTTCTTGAGAGAGGAGTCAAGCCGCCCTCTGGTTAATGACTATAAAAGAACTTTAAATACACTGAGTCGTGATAACAGAGTTTCGCTGATCTGGGTCCCAGGTCACTCTGGGGTTGCTGACAATGAAGCGGCAGATGAGCAACACGAGAAGGCTGCACTAACGCGTTTGTGGGGCCAGAGCCAGCAGTTGGTATATCATTTGCGATGGCCAAACATAGGACTCTGGGCTGAAGAGAGACTTCGCCTACTGTGAACCAGTTCTCCTGGAATGGGACACGCTAAGTTGTTTTAACATCGCCACTGTCAAATCCGGGAATATTTTAGGACTTGCTCGTAGCAATATTAAAGTTCTAATGGGGTTCTTTACTGGGCACTGCCGATTAAAGACACACCTCAACTTGTTGGATCTAGCCGACTATGTGCGAAGGACGAAGAGAGGTTGAGCAAGTTTTATAACTAATACTTTATTTGTGTAAATAAGAATTTACATTCTTTTCCACTCGTCATTTGGTTACATGTCGTTCGATTTGTCACAAGTCACTTACAAATAAACACAAAAGCCAATTCGAAATATTGGCGGAGTACATAAGACACAGACAAACTACTTATACTAAAAAATTTCAAACTTTAGATAAAGGAATGACACGCGATGGCAATCTGACGGTTACGTTTTACTGTGTAGAAATTCCTGTACACTGTAGAATGCGCGACCCATTAGAATAGCAGTGACCCGTCTTATGAAAGTCCCCAGTGGGAGCTCGCTTATGAGTTCTGGTAATTCGTTAAATAATTTTGGACCATAATAACTTTTTGCCGTTCTGCACTTGTTGATTCTATGAAACTTTGGTACAATTGCGTTGTTGTTTCTGGTGTTATATTCTATTAGTATCTATTAGTATCTATTAGTATATTGATACATATAACCACCATAGGTAATTTGACGTACTTCCCTCCTCCGAGTTTCTTGGAAAGTATTTGAAAGTTGACTAGTAATTTATGCACTTCTTCTAGCAGTATCCATTTTTCGTTCTCAAGAGCATATGGTTTTAAATCAACAACATTTTGACACAATGCACCAAGTTCATGTCTACCGTCAAGAGGTACTTTCAACATATCATTACTGGAATTCCAGCGTGTAGATACGAATATATTTACAGAAATATTGCAGATATTATTTGCAGAAATAGTTGCCTGCGAGACTCTCGTACGAGACGCAAGACCTCATGCACGAGACTCGCGACGAGACCAATGAAAGTCTCGTCTTGTCTTGTTCGATTGTCTCGAAAACGAGACTCTCGTAGGCACCATTAGTGACCTGGCGCCCAGATCAGAGAAACTCTGTTATCACAACTCAGTGTGACCCCTTCCAGCATTTTTGATCCATCTGTGAATAAGCAAATATCTGCCTGAACCAAAGAATTTACGTTTTCAATCCAGGACTACCGTTCAGGCAGTACAATCTGATATGCTGATAGCATATCAATGTCGTCAGATTTGACAATATCAGTGCTTATAGTGTCTTTCGCAGCCCATTGGTAATACATGTCGGAGCAGTTTTGAGCATATTGCTTAAACCTGTAAAGGGCAGTTCTAGCCACCTCTATGTGCAAATGCAAAGGAGATAGACCAATCAGAAAATTCATTGATAGAGTTGGCGTTGTGCTTATCGCACTTCTATATATATATAGAACAGAAGACAATATATTTGGGCTGTGCCAATATCTATTGAATCAATAAACAGTACTGGCCAATAAATAATTCTGTATCTCTTAGTTGCTCTAGATTTCTAGATAAAGCAAAGTTTATATGTGATTTTGATAATTAACCTTAATTTCGTTAAAATTAAGCAAAATTATTTCTTAAACGACGCAAAACCGCAAGTAGAAATTAATAACATCCATTATTTCAACTTAATTTATTGAGTTTTGTTTTAAGGAGGTTAATTCGATGTGGCGACATCTGTTGGCAACATTATAAAAGATTTATAATTTAATTTTGAAAATGAAATCTAAATTTATTATTAAAATCTGAATATTGAATTGTTTTAATGAATAGTTTATAAATAATACAGAAAGTTATAAATATTTTTAAAGTAGGATGAACGGATGTGGTTTTAGTAGACGGGAATAGGAGATAAGGTAAAACCTGTTAAAGTGGGGATTCTGGTTGTATAAAAACAGAAAGATCAGTTCTCATTTACTCTATTAAAGTAGTCCGGTTTGAAATCCAGTTATGATGACCGCGAATTTTTAAGAGACACTCACGTGGTGACGGTGCCGCTTTCATTTCTAATTTCTCTTAAGTTTTCATCTTGAGTTTGGTGTTTTCAAATCTTGTACTTTAAAGAACAATGAGTGTTAAAAATTTATTTCTTTTTGTTGTGCTTTTGAATTTTTACCAGGAAGTATTTTTACAAGGTAAGTAAATGGTCTAATTTCACGGACAAGACATTTTTAAACTATTGTTGTTTCTAATATTTTGTCGCAGTGGATTTCGACTTGTATTAATTTTAAAGTAAAATTTTTATATGGTTGTCGTGGGCGGTTTTAAAACTGCCCGGATTTCCTTTTCGGTTTCTTTGGAACAATAAGGTTTTTTGTTATTATACTTGATTCTTTATTGCCTTTGGCCTGGTAATTCCAGTTTAGATACAGGATATGATATCATGGTCCATACACAAAAAAGAATGTTAACAAAGATTAATGATAATTTTTTTGCTTATCCTTTTCTTCTTATACATGTTTTTTTTTAGATATCTTCGTAAGTAATTTAGACGATAAATGCCTTCGATGTTTATGTGTCGCATCCTCAAATTGTGATATTAATTTTCCATGTACAGATGGTTTTTGTGGACCATATATACTTAGTAAACCATATTATGATGATGCCACTAAAGGTCGAGATATGGATCCGACAAAAAAAGGTAAATTTATGTAACGTAAATACAAATTATTGTTAACCGTGAAACAATAAATTGTACTCCTTCATCAATAAATATCGTCTACCTAATTATAAAAAAAATTCTTTATGTTTCACCAATTCAAATCTTAAGAAAAATAATCATCATAGATGTTTTTTTTTAATTTTATGTTATTAATATTTATGAAATTTTTTTTCAGCATTTGAGAAATGTGCATTAGATTACACTTGTGCGAAAAAAATTGTTAAATACTACGTAGCAAGATTTGCAAAGGATTGTAATAAAGATGGTGTTACTGATTGTACCGATTATGCAATGATTAACTTTAATGGTGGTTATGGATGTGAATTGGATTTGTTTAGGAGTGCTTATGGTAGACAATATGCCGAAAGATATTATAATTGTTCTATTTGAAGTGAGAAGTGTCTAAACATGTCATTAAGATCTAAAATTTTATGTATTAATATTTATTTTTATTAATTATGACTTTAATTTTTTAAATAAATTTTTTTTTTTAAGAATTTTCTTGCTTTTATTTTTGTTCCTACGTAACTTTAAATTGAATGTTAATAATATTCAAGGTCAAAAAGGCACTGTAACTTAAATGGACGGAATTTCTTTAAAGAAATAATAAAAAACGAGTTTAAAAATAATCTTTTAGTTTATTTTTGGTAAAAAGTAAGAAATTTTAATTGTAATCATAATTTTAGACTGGTTTCTATTTAAGCTCGTACTTTGTATTGTTTATATTGAGAACACAAAATGTTACAAAAATTACAAATCTAATTCGATATGAGAGTATATTATAACAGAGATATTATGAGAGCCAATTAGAAACGGTTCTAGCAAAAAAGTTGTAAAGTTTGGGTTTAGCTCCCTCATCTTATTATCATTATGTCAAACCCTTGGGATCATTTAAAATGTTTTTGAAGAAAATTAATTACAATTACATAGACTATGAATACACTTAAACTGGTCTATAAGTTATAACATTATTTATACCTGTGTAAAAGTTTCAAGAAATAATGTTTGATATCTTAACCTTTTACCATTTGACATTGCCTCTTATGATGGCCGAGTGCCGAAACTAGTTACACAAAAAAAAACTAAAGACATAATTAAAGCAATTTATCTGAGAGATACACGGAGTGTTAGAAATAAAGTTTCCTCTCCTTAGTTTTGAAAATCATGTGATGTTCATCCTTGTCCAGACCCTGCAGCTAGCAAAATTTGAACTTTGGAATAATACTTTGTAGCATTTCATGTGAAATACGGCGAATATCAGTGCTGATTGATTCCGTTAGGCTTTGTTAAGTTATTAGGAAATTTATATATAAACCTCGGTTTTGAGGTAACCCAATTGAAAGAATCATGAAATATGTCCCTGCAGTGTTGTGTGTCCCTCGTCGCTCCATCCTGTTCAAATTAGACATTTTCCAAATGAAATTCTTCAAAGGTTGGAGCAAAAACATCAATGACCAATGATACTTCTTGAGTTATTTTCACTTCAATAGCGCAAATTGTGCTTGTTAACACAGCCATAAAGATTGAAACATGCTTCATTACTGAGAATTCTGATTAATTCAGATTCTAACTTATCTCTCAATTTATGAACAAAAATCATCTTACACAAAGAAAAGAAGATTTTGTCAACAACTGCGACCAGAGTCAACTGAGCGCTTGACTACATCAATGTTACGTGATGATCGAGTAGGTAATGTTGAGGTAGTCCAACGTTCCTAAGTTAAATTTCAATCATTCCCGGACATTGCTAGGATTGGCATCCTATTACTGTTGATATACTAATGATTCTGTGATTTAGCTCAGCCTCTATATAAATTACTCAAGAAAAATCTCAGCTTTGATTTTTGATCTGCTTCAAAATTAATACATGGTTGTATTAATTTATTACAATACTCTGATTTCTGTCGTGATGTGATTGTATGATTGAACACAAAACTGTGTTGTTTTGACTAACGATGTCACTCAGCATATCATTGCAATTATTCAACAATAAATTGCGAATTCCTTAGTATTGTTTAGCCAGTGCAACACTTTAGACTCTATTTATATGATTGTAAATTCAAAATCATAATCAACCAAACCAAGTTATTGGCGGTGCAAAATCTTTCAGCTCGTCTCAAACATATTAGATGAGTATTTATTATCTAGTACAAACGACAAAACCATTATCTATAAATGTCTTAAGCTAGACGTCATTATATTTTATATTTTTAAACAGATCATATAACTTTAGAAAATTTCTATTATATGTTTATGTTACAACGATCCAAATTGACAGCTGATGAAGCCACAAACACGGAAGAAGCTAGGAAATCCAAGGAGACACCGTTTGCTTCAAAAACTAGGGATTTTGTTTACGAAAATGAAAAAGTTACCACGGATGAATTAATTAATAATGACGAACAGTCAGAGATTGAAGGATTTGAAAAAAGAACAAATTCAAGCATTGGCGACACATGAGCAATCTGCAACAACTTAGAACAAAATTATAAGCTGATTAGGTTGGAAGATTCGGTTATGTTAACAACATATTTGGAGCGATGGCCAAAATACAGATAAAGTGAAAGTCTTTGCTATACTGTCGAAGGAAATCTTTGGGAAGAATACTGTGACCTTGATGATTTCTATAAGGAAGCGAGAATCTTTATCATGTTCTATAACAGATTGACGGTAGGCTTTCACGATCGGCGTTGTTAGAAATAACTACATTATGTATTATGTATTACGTACTATGTTGAGCAACTATTAAAACACTGTTTTTTTCTTCGTTCGACTAGGGGTAGCTCCTGTTTGTGTTGGATGTTTCATTATGTACACGAGGTTAACCAATTCTAGGCTCATCCCTTGGTTGATCGTCCTGGTGGTACTCTTCCTATTGGTTTCTTCGTTATGCATATACGAGCCAACCGATCCTCGTCCATTCTCTCCACATTCCCCTTCCATTTCTTTTTCGTCGTCTTGGACCACATGGCGAATGATTTTCCACATCTGAATGATTTGCTGGTCTGTCTATCTCTCAGTATCACGCCCAATATGATTCTGAGCACCTTTATTTCAGTTGTCCTTATTTTCTTTATTCTAATAATGCTGGTTTTATCATAGCTTTATATATTTTCAACTTGGCTTGTATTCTCGTATACTTATTTCTCGGGACCCTACCATTTATCTTGCTCTCACAGTTGGGTTTCGTGTTGCTGCGATGATATTTTGGTTACTCGTTTTCTCAACCCTCAAGTATTTGAAGCAGATCACCTGTTCTATTATTACATCGTCTATTTGTATCTTACATCGAATTGCTTCTTGACTTATCACCATACATTAAGTTTTCAGTTTTGATATCTGCATATTATATCGTTTGGCAGGATGGACTAATCGTTGGAAATCATCCTCTTGTTCGCGCTATCGCTTACGTCGCCCGCGTAATATATAATGTTAATGTTAAGTCTGATCATTCGGTATGCTGCTTTTGGTCTCTTTCATAATTCGATCCATTATCAAAAGAATTGATGAAATCTCCTTGTCCTATTCCTTCGTTAATTATTATGTATAGAAAAGTATTTGTGAACTTGTTTGCTTAAGAAGGTTACAAGATAGTATCCGAAACGTCTAACAGTATTTTAATAAAAGTGTGGTGTAACCCTAAAGATTCTAGTTTTAGATTTTTACTGCTCATTAAAAATTAATAATCTTATCAGTAATTTTGGTTGCGATGTCATATCTGAAGAAACCAAAGTAAATATGTTAGTATGTTAGTAATGATGTCATCTTCACAGAGCAATTGTTGCTTGTTCCGATAAATAAAATAAGTTTTATTTCGTGGTGATTTTCTTTCCATTTTATGTGTATAAATTAAACTTCGTTTTTTGCACTTTAATGGATTTTTATTTTTAATTTTTACTCAACCGGTTTCACTGTGTTTACACAGCATCTTCAGGAGATATCCTACATAAATACAAATTTTCTTAAATAAATCTCGGATTAACGTGCTAAATTAAGTGAATTCTTAAATTAATACAATAATAAAACTTACGTCAATTCCTTACAAAATATACATTAGATTCATTCATTTGGCAATTCCTCACTGAATGAATTCCTTACAAAATATACATTAGATTCATTCATTTGGCAATTCCTCACTGAATGAATGAATCTAATGTATATTTTGTAAGGAATTGACGTAAGTTTTATTTATTTAAGAAAATTTGTATTTATGTAGGATATCTCCTGAAGATGCTGTGTAAACACAGTGAAACCGGTTGAGTAAAAATTAAAAATCCATTAAAGTGCAAAAAACGAAGTTTAATTTAAAATAAGTTTTATTGAAAAGTGGTTGAAGCAAATACAGAACTCTTTCAAAACTATCATAAATATGAGAACTCCTATTAAATTGGTAAGTATGTTTATATGATTACAGTAATAAAATACTTAATAAATAATAAAGTACTTCAAGAAGGAAACAATCAATAAGAAATAAAAATACGTTTTTAGTCATAGAGATAGAATTTATTGCGTTGAGGAAACTTTACATGTTTCGTAATTTCCATAATTTTTATAACATAAGTCTAAAACTAGCATCTGACTCCATTCGATCTTCAATCATCCTTTCTTCACCTAAAAAGTACGTACTCAAAGTACCTTTTTAAATGTTTTTTTTTTTATTTTTTTCTTTCCTTTCATCTCGATTCATTTACATTTTTTTTTTTCAATGATAATAATTCTTTTTAATAATAATTACAAATCTTTTAAAACGTTTCCAAATCCATAAAGAAAATGTTCGTTCACATAATTTTTCTTATCATTTTTTTAAATTTAATCTGTTGCGCATTAAGTATAAAAAACTATAAATACGTATAATTTTACTTGTTCAAGAGGAACATAATCCGTACTCACGGTGGTTAAAATTTTGATATCCCCTATCAAAAATTCAATAATTAATAAATTATTAATTTTTTCTTTTTAAACGTGGTCGTCAAAATAACACTTTTTTTCGTTTAAATTTTTAACGTATTTTTTTCATTCGCTCGTTAACATTCATTCTTGTTTTATTTCAAATGTACTGTTGTTTTCGTTTCTATATTTTAGAATCAAATACAAAAACTATAATCAAAAAATTTAAAATAAAGTTTAGAAAAGGTGTTGAAAAACAAATAGTACATTTGAGATTACATTTTTTATTTTTTAAATATATGATTATTTTTATTTATATGTAACAATATATACATTTAGAATAATCGTCTTGCTCCTTAGTTCCCCTTTATAAGTGTTCCTTTTTTCTTTCCATAATTATCTTACTAATTCTTTTTTAAATTTTGATAAAATTACATCGAAATAAATTCTAATTTTTCTAATAGAGAAGGTTTTTAGGCCCTTATGCGTTTACGTCCGTCCAAATTTTCGAAAAATTTAATTGACTAAAATATTCAGACGACGGTTGATGCATTGTTGAGATAAAAAAT